ATGCCCCTGCATCGACGTACTGAGTCCGATGCTGGTCCAATGGACTTGCAAACGCCTCCTCGCACGCCCCCAGGCTCTTCACGACACTCAGGTGATCCTAACAGGAACTATGCGAAAACCTTGCGGTTGACTAGTCAGCAACTCAAGGATCTTCAGTTGAAGCCAGGCGCGAACTCGATGGCATTTACTGTTAATCGAGCTACCTGCAAAGCCAATATGTATCTCTGGAGACATGAGACACCCGTTGTCATTTCTGACATCGACGGCACTATTACCAAGTCAGATGCTCTTGGCCATGTGTTGAACATGATCGGCCGTGACTGGACACACTCAGGTGTTGCCAAGCTGTACAGCGATATCTCCGCCAACGGCTACAATATCATGTATTTGACCAGTCGATCCGTCGGACAATCAGATACAACTAGAGCATACCTGGCTGGTATTGTGCAAGAGGGTTACAAAATGCCCCCTGGCCCAACAATTCTGTCCCCAGACCGAACAATGGCTGCTCTAAGGCGAGAGGTCTATCTTCGCAAGCCACATATCTTCAAGATGGCGACTCTCCGAGATATCAGAAACCTGTACGGCCCAGACCGTACCCCGTTCTACGCTGGGTACGGAAACCGACTGACCGATCAAATCTCTTACCGAACCGTTGATGTCCCGCGAAACCGCATCTTCACCATCAATTCCAATTCCGAAGTCTCTTTGGATCTCTTGACTCTTAACAAGCTCAAGATGAGCTACGTGAACATCAACGAAGTTGTTGACCACTACTTCCCTCCTGTAAGCACGCTGGTAAAAGGTGGCGGCGAGGAGTATACCGATTTCACGTACTGGAGAGACGACCCTCTCGCAGTGGCCGACTTTTCGGCAAGCGAGAGTGACGATGGCGAGGACGAGGATGACGACGATAACGGTCCAGGAGTACCTACCAGCGAGTATGGAGATGATGAAGAGGAATATGATGACGAAGATGTCGAAATTGATGAAGACGTGGATGAGATTGGCGAAGGACTCGCCGACAGCTACATTTCTCGTGCATCCATGGACGAATTTGCCGAAGCCTCCAGTGTGTTGGGTGGCAGCGTCGATGAGGAGAAACTGAAAGCGTCTATGACACGCGATCTGAAGGAAGCTTATGACGAGGACGATGAAGACGAAATCTACGAAGATGGCGAAGAAGGCCATGAGGAGGGCGAGAATGCATCCACTGCTACCCCTCTTGGAAAGAGGAAGGCAGCCGATCTCAAGGAGGATGTTCTCGCCCAGCACATAACAGGGGTTGGTCATCTCTCCATCGAGAAATGAAGTGAAGTCAAGGAAAGCTAAGTATTACGAACAGGCCACGGAGGCTGTTGCTGTTGCCCCAGAAAAACAGTAAGACGTGACGGATTCAAGTTTGTTTTCGAGGTCTTTTTTCTTTCCATAGACAGCGATGTTGGCTCAAGCACTCCGTATGGAAAGTAGACAGGGAAGTGGGAGAAGGAACAGGGAGAAGGCTTTTCAGGCATACTAAGGCATAGCGCGGCGTTATCATTTTGTTCTACTTGTATTCGAGGCATGCTGTGCAGACAAAAGCTTGTGTTGTTTGACAGGCTAAAAATACTGCTTGAGGGTCCTTTATGTTTTGAAATATTACAGCATTTTAAATCGTTTGCATATTGAAACAACTCTATTCCCAATCCCAAAATCCCTTATCCTAAAAGAAATTAACATCATGACCACATCTATCCTCTACATACGCCTTTTGTATTTTACATTCCTGATCTACTGCTGTTGCTTCAAATAGTTGAGTCGAATCTCAACTGCTCTTCTATGAGCCTCGAGCTCCTCAACCTTGGCTAGTTGCATAACAGCAGTGCCGACGTTCTTGAGACCATCGGCAGTGAGGTTAGAGCTGGTAATGTGCTTCTGGAATGAGCCCAGGTTGACGCCAGAGTATTGCTTGGCAAAGCCATATGTAGCTGCGGTATTAGTTAGTAATGAAATATGTGACATCGTGAAGGAAAGAACTTACGCAATGAGTGGTTGACACCCGCAGAGTAGTCGCCGACACTCTCAGGAGTCCAGTGACCAATGAATACACTGCCGGCGTTCATAACCTGGTCGACAGCCTTTTCGGCATCCTTGATTTGAAGAATGAGATGTTCAGGGGCATACTCGTTGCTGATGCGCATGGCCTCCGCGATGTCCTTTACTTGGACGGTAACAGAGTGGGCAATAGAGCCTCGGACGATGTCAACACGAGGTAGTGCTACAGCTTGCTTATGGACTTCATCCTCAATAGCCTGAAGCTCTTGTTCACTAAGGTCAACAGCAATCAGGATGACCTGGCTATCGACACCGTGCTCAGCTTGAGAGAGAAGGTCAGAGGCAACGAAGGCAGGGTTGGCGTCCTTGTCAGCGACAACAAGAACCTCTGAAGGACCAGCAGGCATATCAATACCCACGCCAGCGTTGGTGTCGTTGCTGACATGCATCTTGGCGGCGGTCACGAACTGGTTACCAGGTCCGAGAATCTTGTCAACCTTGGTCACACTCTCGGTACCATAGGCAAGAGCAGCGACGGCCTGGGCACCTCCTGCCAAAACAATGCTCTCAGCACCAACCTTGTGGGCAACGTAGACGATCTCAGGGGTGATGCGTCCATCGGACCGAGGGGGCGAAGCAAAGACAATCTTTTGGCAGCCAGCAACCATGGCTGGCACACCAAGCATCAGAGCAGTACTGGGAAGGACAGCAGTTCCACCGGGGATGTAGAGACCGACGCGCTCGATAGGTCTTGAGAAGCGGCTGCAGATGATGCCAGGCATGGTCTCAACCTGAAGAGACTTCTCCTCCTGCTGAGCAGAGTGAAACTTCTTGATGTTCTCGAAAGAGACATCGATGGCCTCGATAGTCTCAGGAGAGATGTCCATCAATTCCTTGGGGAAGGGAGCCTTGAGAACAGGAGACGTCAAAGAGGTGGCCTTCTCGAACTTGTGGGTGTAAGATAGAACAGCCTTGTCGCCGCCGGTTCGTACTTCCTCAATGATGGGCTTAATGATCTTCAGAATAGCGTCAGGGGATTTCTGAGAAGGTCTCTTGAGTTTCTCCACAAGGTCAGTCTGGGAGATCTTGGTAGAATCGACTCGCTCCATGACGATACGTCCATCAGCAGGCTTTTCGGCTTCTGGCTGTGATGACTTGGCTGGAGCCTCCTCGGTCTTGATGCCCTCCTTTTCAGCCCACTTGCCCTTGGCATTACCTGTTCTTCGCTTGACCTTGAGGCTCTTGGCGTCCAGGTTGGCCTCAATATCAGCGAGGCTAACGCCAGCACCAACAGCCTTGGTCAAAGCAAAGTAGATCAAGTCTGCAGCCTCAAAAGCGATGTTCTCCTTGGTCTTGCCATCGCATAGCTCTTCTGCCTCTTCCATAATCTTCGCTCTGAGGAGCTTCTCGTCTGAAAACAGGCGGGCAGTGTAGGAGCCCTCAGGGGCAGACTCCTTGCGAGACTTTAGTGTTTGCTCAAGTGCGGAGATACCATTGAGATCTCCAAAGCACCCAAACTGCTGCAGGTGGCAAAAGCGACCCTTTTGGTTGACTACGAACTTGATCGTATCGTTGTCACAGTCGAGGCCAATTCGCAGCAACTCCTGGGTATCGCCAGAGGTGAGTCCCTTCACCCAAAGGCCACGCTTGCGGCTTTGGTAAACACCGGTTTGCGTTCGTAGAGCTTCCAGAATGCTCTCTTCGCTGGTGTAAGCGAGACCCAAAGCGATTCCTGCGTCATCGGTGACAACAGTGGGGATCAGTCCATCAGTTCGGTCAGACTTCCAGTATGAGGCGATAAGTTTCGATAGCAATAACCGGGTCGAATCGTTCTTATCGGTTGTTAATCGTGTGGAAGAGATAATTGGGATCGCGTTGGCCTTCTTGGCCACCTCGATAAATTTTTCGATGTCAGTTTCAGGAGTAGGCTTGACATAGAGGTTTTTTATCTGCTTGGACTGCGCAACTTCAATGAACTTTTCAACGTCACTTGATGAGACGTCAAAATCCTTGACCAACAGACCGTGCTCAGTAGCTGCCGAGAGAATGAGTGACGACACAGCAGGAATGACTCTGGCGCCATATTGCTCGTACTCTGAATAAGATTCAGAGGTAACAAAAACCGTTCGTACTCCGCTATCGAGCAAAGCAACTACATCGTCAGGGTCGCTTAAGCCTGTAACATCCATGTGAACGTTGGTCCCAGCGCTGGGGCGACCCCAATCCTTGGAGGCTGATTCGTAGAATGGAGCACCGAGAAGAGCGACCTCTTGACGGCTGAGGCCGTCGCTGGCAGATTGATTGTTGAGACTGGCAACGCTCACCAGGAACGGCAACGGGAGGGTTGTCTCCATGTTGGTTGTAGTGAGGTAGAGAAATTGAATTGACGTCGAGTGTAGTCAAGATTCTGCCGCGTAAGTTGTCGAGATGTTGTTAATTATGAGTCAAGAAACCACTCCGGAAAAAGTTGATGTAATGACTATGAGTCCTCCTGCATCGGCGTTTGGTGGGGCAGACAATGCCCCTCCATATCTCTTTCCCTGCCAGAAACCTCGAAATCAGGCTTGTCCCAGTGGATGATATTTAAGGTGTGGTCTGTGCAGGAAGTCGCGAAAGAATCTCGGATTATCAAAACCTCCGAAGCTACGCGCATGCCACGCTGAAGCTCAGTCGTAAAGCATAATTCGAGATTCATGAAGCTTTTTGGCTTGGCGTATTGACTTCGCTTTTCAACGATTGCCTAAGCTCTAACTTGATTCTTTTCCTCTTTGCTTTCCAACTACCACCAAAACTCATTCGAATCACAACACACGCGTCAATTAATATTAATCAGTCTAAATTCAAATACTACGCGCGCAATCATCTCGACCATTTAACGACCAGTCGCACCCTTGATACCCGTCTTCCACCCTTGGAAAATCTAGCCAACTTCCTTTCTATCTCCAAGACATCATACCATTATCAAAATGGCATCAAGCCAGCCGCAGGCCAATGGGGTTCCAGCCTCGTCGGCAGGAACTTCTCAGACAGTACCAAACACACAAACTACCGCCACCTCGTCTAGCCAACCTGCAGCTACGGCCTCGCAGAATGCCCCCCCTCCCCCAGCGCCATCAACAACCGCTCCTAGGCCGCGCGACTCTCGTCTCATCGAGCTTCTCCTCACATCGCAAGGAGTCACCGCTTACGAGCAGCGCGTGCCTCTTCTCCTTCTCGATTTCGCATACCGCCACACATCTTCTGTCCTGAGTGATGCCCTCCACCTCTCTGGCGACCCATATGTTACGCAGGCAGGCTCCAAACCATCAGCAAACGCCGGCGCTATCTCAGCACCAGCAGGCGACGCTGCGGTGACAGCCAACGCCGTCAAGCTTGCCATTGCAGCCCGGCTCAGCTATCAGTTTCGCGGAGGAAATGCCGGCGGGGGCATCAGCAAAGAATACATGCAGGAGCTTGCGGGCCAGCGGAACAAGGTTGCACTACCAAAAATCGTACCAAGTGAATGGGGTGTCCGACTACCAAGCGAGCGATTCGTACTGAGCGGGACGAGCTGGGGTCTTAAGGATGTATGGGATGAGGACGACGATGAAGAGATGGACCAAGGGGGCGATGCCATGGAGGGTATCGAAGGGCCTGAACCCGAGGATATTGGTGGAGATGGTGTGGAAGGCGGTACCGTTGAGGACATGTTCGGTGAGGATGTCGACGAAGAAATGGCTGAAGAGGGTTAGGTGCCCGTTTTGCCATTCAACAGAAATGCATAGGCTGGAACACGTGTGAATGGTGTTAATGGCGTTCGGGACAATTTGGTTAACGGGCAGTGGATGTATATTTTCCGATGCTATGGAAAGGCTACACCAGCATGAAAGGTTAGCCTTGTACAGATGGACATTCACGAGATGTCATCAGGAACATTTGGTTGTTCATGCCCTCGAGCTGGGCTAAGCTTAGAAAACCATCAGGTTTCTGACCCCTGCTCTCTGCTCCAACGATGATCTGCATTAACGATTTACTGGGGTCAACCAATGAATGGTATTTCGTCGGATGCAGACGGCAGTTCATACTTGAAGTCGCCCATGATCAATACGGAGAAAAGTACAGTCAATACACAATTATCACAACTCCGTGTTACCTAGTATGAACAGAGGAAATCTTATGGTACACTAGGCCTGTAAACGGTATCTCATACACTCTATACCCTGGTTTCGATTTTCACAACTCCACTAGCCCTCTATAACTTAAAACTTGGGCTTCATGGTGTTGCGAAGTCTCTGGTAGTCAAAGAGACCCTCAATGGTTCCCACAGCACTGACAGCAATATCACGATCCCAGAGTTTTCGGTTGGCGAAGTCCATAATGTCCTTCTCAGTAATGGCGTCAATCTTGCGCTCAATCTCGTTAGGAGCCATGCGACGGCCAGTGGTGACGAGCTGTCGGCCAATATCCTCAGCGACAGCGGTGGTGCCGTCAAGGGACAGGAGGATGGAGGCCTTGAGCTGGGCCTTGGCACGCTCGGTCTCAGAGGCGCTGACGTTGGTGCAGAGACGCATCCACTCACGGATAGCGAAGTGGACGAGGTCGTCAACTCGGTCAGGCTTGTCGGAAACGAGATAGATACCCCATAGACTAGAACAAGTTAGTCACAGTAAAATCGAAAAGCATGTTGTCATAACCTACCCGGTGTCGTTGTAGCTGGTGGAGAAGCTCATGAAGCTGTTGGCAAGATCGTGCTTGTGGACCCAGCCGCTGAGCTTGCTGCCCTGGTGGGGAGCCTGGCCAACAGCCTTGTCGTAGTTACCAACGATAGCCTGAGCAACGAGAGCAGTGAAGTAGTCCTCGGAGTTCCAGCTAACACCCTCAACGGCGAGAGCGATGTTGGCAGTGGGCATGTTGTCATCTCGGACACGGACGTCAGAGCCCATAAAGTCAGCCTTCTGCTTGGAGCGGAGGTAGGCGCTGTTCTGGGGGCCACTGCTGGGAAGACCAGAGAAGTGCTTCTCAGCAAGCTGGACAAGCTGCTCGTGGGGAATACCACCGGCACCAACAAGAACCATGCGGTCAGCAGTGTAGTTGTTCTTGATGTAGTCGGTAAGCTCGGTTCGGGTGATGTCGCGGATGTTCTGACGAGGGCCGAGGATGGTGCGGCCAAGGGGCTGGTGCTGGAAAGCAGTGGCGTGGAGGTGATCGAAAACGACCTCCTCAACCTGCTTCTCGACCTCCTCGGACTCGCGGAGGATAACGTCGCGCTCACGCTCGATAGCGGACTGCTCGAGCTTGGAGTTCTGGAGAATATCGGAGAGGATGTCGACACACTGGGGAACATCAGAGTTGAAAGCCTTGGCGAAGTAGACGGTGTTCTCGCGCTGAATGAATGTTAGCATCATTCAATCCCCATATCCCTTCATCCGACTGACCGAAGTGTAGGCGTTCAGGTGACCACCCATGTTCTCAATCTCCAATTCCAATTGCTGCTGAGTTCGCTTGGCGGTACCCTGGTAACATTGTTAATGATGAATCTCGGCCAATTGATGGGTTGTCGAACCTTGAAAGCGAGATGCTCAAGGAAGTGGGCGGTACCGTTGTTCTCATCAGTCTCAGCTCGGGAACCGGCATCGATCCAGACACCGACGGTCGACGTTTGCGCAAAGGGCGAGTGCTCGGTAGCGACCTAATGATAAGAATTGTCAGGAGCAAGTTCTGGAGTGGTTCTCAAAGCCAATTGGCCTCGTGCGATAATGCTTACAGTCAATCCATTCTTAAGAGTTGTAGTCTGAGTCTTGCCAACGGTAGAGGGAGTGGCAAAGCCTCGTGTGAAAGGAACGGCGGCCGAAAACCCAGCACGGTTTCGCAGACCTCGCGAGAGGTTCAAAGCCAGTCTCCGGGACGCCATGACGCAGGTTTGGAGGGTCGACGCTGAATTGAGTGGTTTGATGAAATCTTTCGATCTGGCTCGGCTAGAAGCTTTACTGAGATAATTTGCAGCCTGAGCAATAAGGCGAGTTGATTAGTCATTCCGACCGTCTCCGAATCACAGCAGCCGGTTTGGCGATCTGATCCAATAAGAGGCGCTCATTACTAACCACTTCCAACCCTGTTCTAGCTCCACTATGATCCAACGCCTACCTGTTTTCGTGCGTATTGCTTCTATGACAGAACTTCAATATGAACGATACATGACTGCATCAGCATCAACACTGTTTACTGTTGTGATTGCATGATTGCTGTGATTTATTGTCAAGTTCGGAGAATCCATCGTAACCGTATTTCGGGAGCGTTTTCTACCTCCAATATTCGATTTGCTAAATAAACGCATCTCTACTTAAAGTCTGCTCTTATCACTCTTATTTCAATTGCAATGCCGTCTGACGATTACAACTTTGCCGACGTTTTTCAGAAAATCTACGTCGCTAAACAGAAACCTCCTCCGATTCCGGTTAATGAAAATATGAAGGTTATTCTACAGAGCTTTCCGCCTCTAGGGCAAGTGACCTCAATTCAAGGCAAAAGTGCCACCCTAACCACTGTTCTCGAGATACCCAAGTCTCGTGCCAGCGAGTCCTGGGAGGTCTCAGCCTGGCACTCCGTAGACGATTCAGCCTGGGAAGATGTACTGCTGCTCTCTATCCAGGAAGTCTCGGCCCCTCAAACCTTGCAAACGTTGCGTGACTCTATGCATCGCTTCTATTTCTCTTCGTCTATTGCATTTGAGGCTTCACTTAAGTTTACTCTCAAGTTTCGTCACAGTTCAGATGCCGATTGGAGATGGATCCGCGATGAACAAGGTCTCAATGATGGGTTGATTGTCAACACTCCGGTTGGACTTTCGTCTAATAGCCTGTCCGATCTCATACCTGATATAAACTCTAAAGATTGGACAATTAAATCGCAACTGAGCCAATCACCCCGAACTTCGCTTTGGTCGCTGGAGGCAGCCATTGCATCTGCGAATCAAGATGATTCAACTTACAGGGACATTTCAATCGGTACCCCTTTTGGTACGTTTGCAAGGTGAGTGCCATTGACGAGTTTGATAAGCTATCTAAATCTTCAACATCCACCTCCTCTAACCGGGTGTAGGTGGTTCTCTCTTGTCCGGCTGTGGTCACCATGGCTTGCCCCTCGACATGGAAAATCGCATTTCTCTCTCGATAAAGATGGAGTTCTTTGTTGTTTCTTAAGCCCACAGGGCAAAAGTCTCGTGTTTCTTGCTGTCAGCGGTATCGGCCATGTCCTGCCAGTTTTCCGAAGCGAATCAGATGGGAAACTTCAAGTTCATGTGCGTAGCCGTAATATGGCTTCCATACCTTTGTGCTTATTCTGACTATTCAGGCTCGGAACGACGGGCTTTCTGACGAGACTGCCACTATCCTTATTTCCGAAGGTGACGATTTCGATTGTGCTATGGCTTCAGTAATGTACCATGCTAGAAACCTTGTTTCAGTCACGAAGCAGGCCAACGAGGAATGGTCCAAAGAGCTTTCTGCTTTGGTAGACGACTTCAAACCAGAATGGCTAGAGCACTGGTTTGACGGACTCGGATTCTGTGTGTTCTTATTCCTATCCATCTTCAGGAAACAGACTGACAGAGTATCGTGATATAGGTACATGGAACGCTCTTGGGCAGCAACTAACAGATCAGAAGATATTCGATGCCCTCGATAAATTAGGCGAGCACGACATCAAAGTCTCTAGTCTGATTATCGATGATAACTGGCAGTCGATTGACTATCAAGGTCCCAGCCAGTTTCAGTACGGTTGGAAGGATTTTGAAGCCGAGCCCAAGGCTTTCCCCCAAGGGTTGAAGGCTACTGTATCCCATATTCGAAAGAACCACCCGCATATCCAGCATATTGCTGTATGGCATGCGCTTCTGGGGTATTGGGGCGGTATTGCCCCTGATGGGAAGCTTGCCAAGACATACAAAACTATCAAGGTTACAAGAGAGGAGGCTGACCGTCGCAATCTTCCTTTAGGCGGCAAAATGACAGTCATCGCCCAGGAGGACGTCAGCCGATTTTACAATGACTTTTATAGATTCCTTTCGGATGCTGGAGTCGATGCTGTCAAGACGGATGCTCAGTTCATGATTGATACATGGGTCGAGGCTTCTCCTCGCCGAGACCTCATCAACGCCTATCTTGAGGCTTGGACCATCTCGACTCTGCGTTACTTTAGTGCAAAGGCCATATCTTGCATGTCTCAATTTCCTCAAGCTCTCTTCCACTCTCAGATGCCGACGAATCGACCCACGATTCTGGTTCGCAACTCGGACGATTTCTTCCCCGAGATACCCGCGTCGCACCCATGGCATGTTTGGACAAACGCACATAACGCCATCTTTATGAGTTATCTGAATGTGCTTCCTGACTGGGACATGTTCCAAACTGTCCACGAGTACTCCGGATTTCATGCTGCAGCTAGATGTGTCAGTGGAGGACCTATCTACATCACTGATGTTCCTGGTGAACACGATATGGATCTGATCAGACAAATGACTGGCCTCACTCCGCAAGGAAAGACTGTTATCTTCCGGCCAAGCTCGTTGGGAAAGACGGTGGACCCTTATATTGGCTATGACGATGATTTGCTTTTGAAAGTAGGAAGTCACCACAGTAAGAGCTACTCTGTTTGCCAGCTGGTTCGATGGAACTAATCAGATTTAGGAGCTTCACATACGGGATATTCCATCCTGGGAGTCTTTAATGTCTCTTCCAAGCCGCTGACTGAATTTGTTCCTCTCTCAAGCTTTCCTGGTGTAACTCCAGGCTACTATGTAGTTCGCGCTCATACAACAGGCAAGGTTTCGCAGCCGACAACGCTTGATGGGTCTAGCTCCTTATTTACGACTTCATTGCCTGTCCGAGGATTTGAGATATTGTCTGCGTTTTCCTTGACGCCTCTATCCAGTACCAAGCACGGCGACGTTTTTGTCTCGAACTTGGGTTTGTTAGGCAAGATGGCAGGTGTTGCAGCAGTCATTATGAACGATATCAAACAGGAACGTCATAAAAATCGGGTTTTGATAGTCACACGTATCAAGGCATTCGGTACACTAGGTAAGTGAAGCTCGACCCTGTCTAATATCTACCACAGTCTCATATGTTTAGGTATTTACATATCTGCACTTCCCGATCTAACCATTGAGGGGGATTTCTTGATCACAATACAGGAAAAAGTGATACCTTTGCACACAGTGGCTATTTCAACAGTTGACAAGCATGTACTTGAGATCGACATTGGGAAAGCGTGGAAGGATATGGGTCTTGAAAGTCGATGGAGCAATGACGTTGAGGTGAAAGTGCACTTTGGTCTTGAAAATGATCACCATTAATTACGTGACGACAAGAAACATTCAGGAACAGTGGAAAATTATATAAGCTTGATTACAATGGATATATTACACAAACAGGTATATCTGATTTCAATATCTTGATACAGGTAGTCACCATACAAAAGTTTATAGCGGACCTGTCAAAAGTCAAATATAGGGTAATTCATTTTTGGGCACCAACAAACCACAAATGGTTAGTGGGCAGGAAAAACTTGCAGGAGCACTGAAGGAGAAAAATGAAAAAGGTACCCCACTTGCCACCATAGAAGCTGACTTGATTGGATGTCTGTAAAAAAAGAGGAGGAGCTGCTCCTCCATTATCGGCGTCATCCCAGGGTCTCGCGTTCCCATAAAAAACTTTTTGAGGCACCACCACCAATTCTTTTCTTCTTTCTTTCTTTCGGGAAGAAGCCGTCTATCAATCTTAGCAGTCGATAAAGGCCAGAGCTTGCTCATCGACTCGTCTCGTCTTCGACCTCACCTCACCTCATTTTTCTTTGATTCATCTTTTATAGTTGCCAATCATGTCTGCCTCAGTGCTTGACCACACCAAGGCCCTTGAGGTTCTCAAGGAGTACAAGCAAAGGGATGGCCTCGACATCCACGAGCTTATGGACACAACCAAGCACGGTGGTCTGACCTACAATGACTTCCTGCTTCTCCCTGGCTACATTGGCTTCGCTGCCTCTGAGGTCACTCTTGAATCGCCCATCACCAAGCGCATCACCCTCCGAACACCTTTCGTCTCGTCTCCTATGGACACTGTCACGGAGCACGAGATGGCCATCCACATGGCTCTCCAGGGTGGTCTCGGTGTTATTCACCACAACTGCTCCCCCGAGGCTCAGGCCGACATGGTCCGCAAGGTCAAGCGATACGAGAACGGTTTCATTAACGACCCTATCGTCATTGACCAGAACACCACTGTTGGTGAGGCCAAGGCTCTGAAGGAGAAGTGGGGTTTCGGCGGTTTCCCAGTCACTGGTAAGTTATATCTACAGCCAACTCCATCTCACATCTGGTTGCATGATTATACACCCTTTCATATAACTTTCGTTCCACCGTTAGACAATTGTCAATGTGGAGAAACTATACTATGAACAACCACTTCACATCAATTTTTTCCATGGTCGCATTGCCCCGCACAGGAACAACAGGCTAACTGAAAATTTCAGAGGATGGCAAGCTTGGATCCAAACTTGTTGGTATTGTTACCAACCGAGACCTTCAGTTCGAGGAGGACCTTGACCAGCCCGTCTCTAATGTCATGGTTAAGGACCTTGTCACTGCTCCTGAGACCGTCACTCTCCTCGAAGCCAACAAGATCCTTTCCAAGTCCAAGAAGGGCAAGCTCCCTATCGTCGACAAGGACTCCAACCTCGTCTCTATGATCTCTCGTTCCGACTTGACCAAGAACCAGCATTTCCCTAATGCTTCCAAGCTTCCCGACAGCAAGCAGCTCCTCTGTGCTGCTGCTATTGGTACTCGTCCTGAGGACAAGCTTCGCCTCAAGAAGCTCGTCGAGGCTGGTCTCGATATCGTTATCCTGGACAGCTCCCAGGGTAACAGCATGTACCAGATCGAGATGATCAAGTGGGTTAAGAAGGAGTTCCCTGGTGTCGACGTCATTGGCGGAAACGTCGTGACCCGAGAGCAGGCTGCTTCTTTGATCGCTGCTGGTGTTGATGGTCTCCGAATCGGTATGGGCAGTGGTTCCGCCTGTATCACCCAGGAGGTCATGGCTGTCGGCCGTCCTCAGGCTGCTGCCGTCTACAGCGTCAGCCGATTCGCTGCTCGCTTTGGCGTTCCTTGTATCGCCGACGGTGGTATCCAAAATGTTGGTCACATCGTCAAGGGTCTTGCCCTTGGTGCCTCTACCATCATGATGGGTGGTCTCTTGGCTGGCACCACCGAGTCTCCCGGTACTTCTTTCGTTTCTCGCGAGGGTAAGCTTGTCAAGGCTTACCGAGGCATGGGCAGCATCGACGCCATGCAGGATAAGAAGGCTGGCAACGGTGGTAAGGACAGCCAGAAGAGCAACGCCGGAACTGCTCGTTACTTCTCTGAGGGTGACAGCGTCCTGGTCGCTCAGGGTGTTTCGGGTGCTGTGGCTCACCGAGGGTAAGTTTTCACATGTTGAATTGAATCGAGGAATACTGACATCGTTAATAGATCGATCCAGAAGTTCGTTCCTTACCTCGCTGCAGGTCTCAAGCACTCTCTTCAGGACAGTGGTATGACCAGCCTGTCTGGTATGCACCAGTGCGCTGAGGCTGGTGAGCTCCGATTCGAGCTCCGCACAGCCAGTGCTCAGTTGGAGGGCAACGTGAACATGGAGTCCTATGAGAAGAAGCTTTACGCGTAATGACATATATTGAAAAATGATGGGATGACGAAGGATTGGGATATGGAAAAAATGGGCTGGTTTATTTTACATGCAATCACTTGCATTGGGGATTTGGGCATAAGATTCAGAAGTGTTTCATCGGATGAGGATAAAAAGACCCTCGATAAACTGTAGATCTGAATAGGCGTTTGTCCAACCATTAGAGGTGCGACGCGGGCGTTTTGCTGCCTGACTGTCTGAAAAAAAATCGACAGAGGCAGAGGTCATGAATGAAAATTTTATTGATACCCTCAGGACACTGAAGTGCTGCCGGTCAGTTTGATCTGTGATATGAGTGACGCGGAAATACAATTAACAGGCCACGAACGAGTATGTTATTCAATGTCCAGATTAGTCTACCGTTAGCTGCTTATGTCTTGGGCAACTCAGAATCCGTGCAGAATGGAAATCACCGAAATATCAAACGCACAGACAGTAATACCAAAGTCAGGTCATTTACCAAAGAGGAAGGCAAGGCGGAAACTCACGAACAAGGGTCTTTCCAGCGGAATTTTGAAGTTTTAGAGTTGCATTGCTGCCTTTTAGCCTTTCAGACTGTCAAACCTCGTATCAATTCGGTTCACGCAGCTAAGCTGATAAGACGCTTCTTGGTTCAACATTGAGAAAAGAATCGTCTTATTGAAACAAAAAGTATTTATTATGAATAATTAAAAGATATCATGACTGTCTTTGTCACTGGGTATAATCCGTTGGCGCGTACCCGTCCGCGCGTTGAGTCCGTTCACATGCCAGCTTACTACCAGCAGCCGCTTTCTCACATGCCTTCACTCTCTTTTTATGTGTCATGCCGGTACATTCTTTCATCTCAATCCATCCCTCCCCTTCTCAGTGCGCATTTAATTAATACTGGGGCTGAGGCTGGTGAGGGTTGTAAGTCTGCTGAGGTGGAGGGAAGGATCCTTGAGGCTGAGGAGACTGATATCCTTGCTGGGGAGACTGGTATCCTTGTTGGTGCTGATTTTGATGCTGAGGGAGCTGATAATCAGGTTGAGGAGTCTGCTGCTGAGGGTTGGGCTTCTGGTCCTGGTACTGCTGCTGAGGCTGGGCAGTTGGCATATGCATGCCCTCCTTCTGAGCCTGGTAGCCCTGCATGATAGGGCCATGTGAGAGACGAGCCTTGACCTCGTTGTCTTGCTGGATGAGAGCGCAGCAAAGACACCAGTAACTAACGCAGCAGTCGCTCATGCCACTACCCTTGATGCCGAATCGCTCACGGATCTCTCCACGCTTCATCATGGAGTAACTAAGTATCGCATGTTAGTTGACGGCTCGAAGAACATGTTTGGCATAGAGTCTTACATCCAGCCACAGCCGGTAACACATTGGATGGCAGTGAAAATAAGAGTATCGCTGTTGCAGGTATCGGCAGTTTGCATTGTAGGGTCTCTCATACGGTCGGCAGTTTTACCCAACACTGTGAAAAGGACTGTTAGTTGCGATTATGCCAAGGTCATCTTATGCAGGAACATACGAATGCAGGGACAGAAAGTGCTGAGCATGCAAGAGTCGCAGGGCGAGCAGTTGCAAAGGTTGCTCTGCCATTCCTGGTTCTGGACATTAGGTCCTTGGGAGTATTGCTGAGCCATTGTGATTGATGTGTGAGTCGATTGACGATTGATGGAACAAAATCAAGTAAAAAGAGGTATAGGGAGGCCAAGAAGAAAGAGTGTGCGCAGGTTTAAGGAGAGAATGGAGAGAAAAGGAAAGCTCCCAAGACTCGATGGACGATAACAGCACCTTATTATTAGACGAACTCCTACGGACAAACAATCTGACTGACAATCGTCTCGTCTCGGCACGGCAATCGCCTTTCGTTTCAGGCCGGGCGTGCCACAGCCCCGGCTCCTAAAAGCTTCAGCTCTAAGCCTCCGTGTTCACTAGGGCGCCCTTCATTTCAATCCATGATTGACAGGCAGGGTCAGATCAGCAGCGGAGTCAAGCTCTAAGCCAGCTGACGCCTCTAACCTGAAATGAATCACAGGAAAAGCATCCCTCCGTTACCATAATTTACTGTCTTGGTATAGTATTGAAACTACCTCACAAATTAGCTGTGCAACCTGTACAACTCTGCACGAAGCCGGCAAGCAGGGTGCCGTTTGTGAAGCTCAACAGGTATTGCTGAAAAGACAATTCAGCCCGGCTCTGATTTAGCGTCCTAGGGCTGACATGGTTGCAGGGGGTAATGCTGGCAGAGGGACCTTCGAGGCCCCCTACAGTGTCTGGAGCGTGTCATCCCTGGTAAGGATCTGAGGGAACTTTGCAGCGTGCAGAATATCACCTCCACCACCTTGAGATTAATGCAGCTCAAGTCGGTTAGTTTTCAATAGCTTGCCAGGAGATACTGTAGCGACAAGCAGTGCAGCCAGCGAGCACAATCGTATCCAGTCGGAACTCAGGGAGTCAAAGACAACTCTCAGCTCAGGCTTTCACAGGTCAGCCTAGACAAAGTTCGGCCACCATTGCGAAGATTGTAGCGTGGTGATATTCTTAGAAAAAGAGGAACAACCCTTTCAGGACGTCTAACTAATTATAGTATGGTAAACCAGGCTTCGAGTTTGTTCAGACGGGAGACTTTGGTTGATTCGAAAATGTTGTCCAGTCTATGTATTATTCAGAATTTATCATTCGATCTTTTATTAGCTCTTACATCCACATACATAGCATCGAATTGATCTTATTATTCTCTCGTTCCACAGCAGGATAAGTCCATGATACCAAGTTATCAACAAATGTAACATGCCACATCCATTGTTACCTCTTATGGCGAAGAGATGGATGTTAACGTCCAGGCTGGTGAGCTCGTGAATCGTTGACCTTTTTTGCGGCCGTTGGTCGACTAAGTATCACATAGTCGGGTACCACCACCTTTCCTCCTCTTAGTTTCCTCTCCCTTGGGGAATAATCGTCTTTTGTGAACCCCAGTTTCTCGTAGAATTTGAGCGCAGATTTGTTGCTCACAAAACACGTGAGCATGGCCTTTTCAATACTTGGTATGTTCTCTGTAACGTCCATGTAGTAACTCATGAGCTGTTTGCCTAGCCCAGTTCTTTGCCGAATACCTGTTAGCCTAACGGTCTCGCATGTTTTATAGTTACTCCGTCAAATTCCGCTGGTGTCTTGATGGAACCCTGCTGGATTGCGAATGATGCACAGAAATTTGGCTGACTTACCCTTGCAGTTCCGGCTTCAAGTGAATCTCATAGCAGTAAACCACGGCTTCGTGGTTCTCAAATGTGGGCATAAAAGACGTAAACCCTTTTATAGTGTCTTGCCCGTCCTTTACCAAGATGTATCTGAGATCTGGCGAGCGCATCTCCTTCTTCTTTGTAGCCGGGTGCCACCCGAGTGAGGAGTTGCGGTAGTCTGCACCGCTTGTCTCATCTACCAAATCGTAACATGCTTCCAAATCCTCATCATTCATACATGTAGGCCGTACAAGACTCAGGGTAAAGGGTGTTTCGCTTTGGGGATGTTTCCATTCCGGCCAACCGTCACTGTGACACATATGTCACCAATTAATCTAAACACAGTCCGCACAGTCAAGACTCACCTGAGTTTTAGATACTGTGTAGTAAACTCATCGTCTGAGACGTTGTTGGCGATTTCAATAGGATTTTCTGTCCTTTGTCGTCTTCTTCCTACGAGCCTCTTTGGTCCTTTCGTATCACCCGTGTCTGTCATTCTGATAACTCGAAACAAATCACGCTGGGAGAAGGATGAAGAAGAAGAAGAAGAAGAAGAAGAAGAAGATTATTATTATAACAAACAGATGCAATGGATTGGGTCTTGCTCAATATGGCCGTACTTGCCACTAACAACATGGCGGACCTAGGAGCGCTTTCCCTCTGCAGACAAACCAGACCCGTTCGATAGCCGAGGTTCGTCCGACACGATGTGAAATCACCAGTTGAAGCTTTTCATCATCATTATCACTACAAATTTTGCGTGATGAGCAATTTCATTATTTCACAGCCGACGAGGTAGTAACCGGTGGAATGGTCCTAACCACTCGTCTGTTGGCTTTTAGCCGTGGCTATGCCACAACCCGCGCAGGCGGTTCTCGTCTTAAGCCTACGCTAAGTCTCGACCAGGTATGTTGGTTTTCAGTCTGGTTGATTATGAAACGAAAATCTGATGGAGTTAAATAGTTCATTCAAAGAGGCCGAGTCTTGGCATTCTACCGCACTATTCTGCGCGGTACGAAAAGGATTTCTGATCCTACAACAAGAGCCGAGTCTCGAAGATACGCCCGTGATGAGTTCGAGAGACGTCGCAATGTGGCGGACTCTGTATGTTTTACTCCCTCCTTCACTTCTTCGTAGCCCACGACTGACTGAATCCACGGCAAAAGGCACACGTTCGATATCTCCTCTCAATTGGCAAAACGGAATGGGAAGGCATGGAGAGGTATATCGATGGCATGTAGCGCAGCAAAGTTGTAATTGTAGTCGTAGTTAGTTGTACATGACGAACAAGCCTTGAATCCCCCCGCGCGCTGTACGGTCTTTCTTTCTCGACCTCTCAGAAGAATACTGCAAGGCTCCAGTGACGCCTCATAAGAAGAAGAAAACGACCAGTGTCTTTTGCTCGTCCTATCACGCATTGGGTGTGTCTCGCCGCCCCCGTCTAGAATTTGTCCAATCCAGCAATTCGTTAGATATTATCGTACAGTTTCCTCCCGTATCTCATAATTGGCATTTTTCAACCTTGTCGTTGCTTGTGTCGAGGATTCGCCTTGCAGATGATGTACAAGTGTCCGTTATGTCGCTTGCCGGCCTTCCTTCGAACGACCTGAAAGAATGTGAGCCTTTGATCGAGTCACAAAGGAGACCCAAAGTATCCAAGCTAGAGGTCTTCTTCTTCTTGATTGTTCCTTCTCACCTTGCAGTGCTCGCATCGCTTCTTTACCGAACTTTGGACCTTCATGCCTCGAGTCTGCTGCATCAAACCGTTCCCGAGCGCTCGCGAGATGGGTGTCGTCGCGGGGCTGGTGAAAAGCGACCAGGGGCCGCGGGTCGCAAAAGCCCCCAGGGCATTGCTCGGGGTCAATGACCTCGCTGACAGCGTAAGAGTGCGAAGAAAAGAGGCCATCGTGGTTTACTTTGGACGGTGACGACTCTTAGCAAAGGTTGTATCCATGTACCGTTGAGGTTTGCTCCATGAGCCGGATCCTCGAATCACGTGCCAAACACTCACCCCAGAATCCACTTTTCATCCATCTTCTCTTATCCATGGCCTCAGGGTAGTTATCAGAAAAGTTGACGCCATCAGAGACGAAATTACCAGATCAGTTTATGCTGTTTAGACCACACTTAGGTTATTTATTTTTGTATCCTAAGCATTACCTAGAGATTGATTAAAGGTTTTATCACGGGTACACTTAAAACATAAGACTTTGATGTAAAACACTTCATTTAGCTACCCTGCCTAGTGCCGATCTATGATACGTGATTCTGGTTTCCTTGCGCAATGCTTAGTGGTTTCCTGACGCTCCAAGGTCATCTGGCTACTACCTTCAGGTTGCCAATCATTAAACCTCGTGTCCCAAAATCCGACATTACAAAACCGTCAACAAAATCATTCCGTTATAGCAATCAAGCCCGTTCATCTAGTCCCAAGTCCATCAAGTGTTGACAAAAATCACAAAAACCTTCCTTTCTTCCTTCTTTACCAGAATCCTTCTTTGACTTTGACGTGAGGTGTCAAGACGTCGCTACCTGGATGCTCGTAAGGACCAAAGGCGTCCTTGTGCGGTTCATCAAGGCTTCGGTACATTTCAACCGCAGCGCTGAATGTGTGAGTGGGCTTGATGCCGCCACGGTTGCGAACAAGCTGTGCGCCTTGGTTTTCATCATAGTGGTTGGGTGTCCCAATCGCGTTGATCATCCGAACCAGAGTGGGCGCCATAGGAGTTCGCAGATGAGGTAGGGTTCTCATGTAGAGTACGAGGGATCTCTCTGAATCCGCAATCAAAGCCGCATCTCGGGCCTTTTGTCGAAGTCCATCTGCCTTCAAAAGAGTAATCAGGCTGGGCAAACCCTGTACACTGTCACAGTGGCGCTTTCGGTCACGGACGAGCTCAGTCTCGTAACTGGGCTGGTGAAAGTCCCCGTCTGGTAAAAGAATCATCGAGGGTTTTGGTTTTCGTTCCACCTTGGCGGTCTTGAACCGAACCAGGTCTCGTCCATCAGCAAGGATAGGAGCATCGGCATTGAATGCCATCGGCTCCCAGTCAGGGTAAAATCCAGACATGATTTCCTTGCCCCAGACTTTCTGATGATCATTCTCTTCGTCTAGCTTTTCGCGTAGAATGCATCCTGCACAAGTCAACATTTCAGGTCGGCTGTTGAGCGGAGTAGTATAGCCAAAGAATTCGGGTAAGAATTCGTAGCCGCATGAGGAGCAGAATGAGAGTTTTGTACCCATTTCCCTGAGGTAGTACTTTGGATAGTCGCGTTTGAGCGGCTCGAGACCACTTCGAACAGCTTTCAGTAAGTCGTACGTGGCTTGCTTGATAGCGTTCACGTCCTTAGACTTGGCGGCCTTCAAATCGAGAAGGCGATAGAGGCCATCTAGAAAGGCGAACACCTTGCCGGGTACCATAGGAATGCTTGATAGGAAGGTCATTAATGCTGCATCTTCGTCCATCAGGAGCCCGATGTTCATTTTGCGGGACTTGAGGACAGCCAACATGATGATTGCAAGAACGCCTCGTTGAAACACGTCATTGTTCCCCCCCTTCCAAGTATACCCGTAAGTTTCATATTCGCCTTCATTCTTGTAGGGCATTCCCGAGTGGTATCTAGGATAGAAGTCAAGAGAATCAATGTGGGGGAGGTTCTTCTCATCTCGTTCCAGGTTGACTTCATGGATCAAATCGAGAAGGAAGGTGACATCTCCCAAGTGGAGCAAAGGGCATTCGTAGATGCCAACCATGGTGACATTGGGGCATGCCCGAAGGATTATAGCTAGTAATCTACGGTCAAGTAGAGGAGCTTTGTGAAAATGCAACACTTCAATGACCTGGCTACGTTTGGCAATCGCAAACACTAGAGAAAGAGCTGGTCAGTGTGTAATCATGATAATGGAAAGAAATATGACTTACAGAGATGCATCGTCTGGGTCAGAGCAACCTGCTTCGACATGTTGAATTCCTGTTCGGGCGCTGGATCGACAAAACTCCTGAAAGCATTCATAAGGTCCTCTTGATCTGGGATCGATTGCGCGAGCTTGACGATGTTTTCCGGGTATCCATAATGTTCTAAGATGTGTAGGACCTGTTCATCTTCGTTCTCGTCACGTTCGGTATTGTAGCCGTATGGCGATGTGAGACCGCACTCTTCTTGGATGAAAAGTACGAGATTTCGGATGTTGGTACGTGACTGGTGTTCCTCGATGCGGAGCTGAGATAAGCGTCCACGTCCTCGACCGAACTCCTCCTGGGTACCTTCAGGGTTGACGCAAAGGAATACAGAGGATCCGGTGGGAGTCTCGTGATAAGTGGCAGTTGTGAAGTCCCAAACGGCCATACCCTTTGACAGCTTGGCCCAAGCAAGGGGAGATGCCTTGGAGAACGACTCAAGCAGCTTGATTCCATTGGATGCAAACATCTTTCCGAAAACCAAACCGTAAGTCTGTTCACTGTCTACGATTCCAAAGAGACTCGAATTCTGGGTGATGGCAAGATTAGAGTGGGTGTTGGTCAAGTTGATGCCAGTGGTGTCGACCAAGAGTTCTCGAGACTGGACGTAAGTGCCTTGAAAATGGGTTGGCTTGCCCTCGTGGATCGTAAGGAATTCATCCCGCGAAGCCGCTCGCTTCTCGTTCTCCTTGAACTTCAGGTTGAATTCCTCAAGGACTTCACGGATTGATTTGCTGGTTACCAAATGATGGTAGCCATGCTTTTCGAGACGCTTGGAAGCCTCTTCTGAGTCATACTTGTGGATGACTACCTCCATAGGCGTCAAGGCGGGTTTGCGACGACGACCAGGCATTTCTATGGAATGTAAGTATGTGAGAGTCGGGGAAAGGAAGGCACGGTATATGAGATGTACTGATGGGGCTAACAAGGTTTTGTAGTAAACAAACGTTGAATACAGGTTGCGTTTGTATATGAGTGGGGTTCAAACAACGATGCAATAAACGTATAAAAATAATTCTCGTACTCACCAAAAATAGAACAAAAAGGTTCCAAAAGACGCTGTGTGTACCTAGGTAGAGTAGAGTAGAGTAGGTGCAAGTAGGAATCAGGATTCTAGATGGGTGAACAGTCAGCACCGAGATGTGTTGCACAGTGGAGCGGAGGAGAGGAGAGGAGAGGGTAGAGAGAAGGGCAGACAGATGGGCAGCATGCGATGCTATCGCCAAAGTAGAGATAAAAGAGAAGAAGATGACGGCGATGATGATGAAGACGGGATGATGATGATGCGAAGAGGGATGAAGGTTATCACGCGATGATATCTTACCAAAGGAGAGATGCCGATATCAGTAATCTCTGACGATGATGCTGTAGGGAGGGAGATTAGAAGAGAAGGGAAAGAAGAGAGAAGGGAGAGAAGGGCTTAAGTAGGTGACAAAAGGTGACAATATCAAAAGAGGTCAGTGATTCACTGACCTATCCAAATCTTAGCCTTACCTACACTGCAGATGTAGGAGAGAAGTGAAGTGAAGTGGAGTGGAGTGGAGGAGAAGAGATGAGAGAGGAGAGAAAAACTGACTTCTGCTGTCACACGGCAACGAACCGCTGGCCAGGTGCCTACCTTAGTAGCCAGGCAAAAACCGAGCTGCAAAGATGGTATGAAGGCAGTCAAGCACATGTACAGAGGCACTGCCAACCAGCTGGAACATCTCCAAAGTATATTGCATAGTGGTTTGCAAGTAAATAGGGAGTGATCGTATAGATTATATTGCGTTCTGACTAGACAGACAAAAAGGGGTATTTCAGGAACTCAATAATCATGAACAGCGTGTTGAATACAACTGTTGATACTGCATATTTTATGTTTCTTGTTCACCTAAATGTGCTTGTTTTGTTGTTCTGGAGTCGTGGCACTGGCAGTTATTGCTTGCCAGTGACCTTCTATACTACAGTGCATGATTTCAGGGGACGTCGGTCGCGAGCAAACAACCAAGTGATCGCGTTCTCGAGTCCTATGACTCGTTTATTAATGTACAAACCATTCCGAGTAGATTGGTATCATCAGAATCCTCCAAGAGACGAGAGAAATACATCAGGGACTGACATGTGTACTGTTCTGTTGTTCCTACCAATATCACCAGTCACATGTTCGTCACCTAGCGAACAACATGTGCACCAACAAAGAAAAGAAAAACACAATAACAAAGTGCATTGGCATGAACAAGACTCGAACAATACACCACCGTTGCATAGTTGTTCCAACTCGAGAAAAGGGGGAGGACACCCAGGTTTCCTAACTTTCCCTCGACAAACCCTCTTCCAACCTCGTCCTATCATGCGGACCCGAGATCATTAGAAGGAATCATCGATATATTCATATCACCAATAGAGCCGACAGATTCAGATATCCATGGTACAGTGTACTAATCTCCGCTGAAGCCTTAGACGCAGAGGTCTTGAGGGGAGGGACCGCGATCACCTCCTCCCTTTATCCTGCGCACGACACGGTTCCTGAATTAGCAGGTAGTCTTCAAGGATCACTTAGTTCAGTTAAGAGATCATACTAGTAAACACACCCGCAAGTCGCATCTCCATTTGCGATACTATTCCAAAGCTGCAAGCCTAAAGATCCCCTGAAACACTGAACGAGCTGCATGTACAAGCCGATCAGACGACCCACGCAGCTCCAAAGTATCATCACAACATCTTCTCTGGCTCTATCATACTCAACTCCACCGGACAAAGTAGCTTCGGGTCGAAAGGTAGCCCAAGATCCTGGGATATCGAAGGCTAGTTGACAACGGCGGCTAGGACCGACCCGAACCCATCCATTACGACCCAGAAACAACATCTTGAACTAAAATAACAACCGCGTACTGTTACATGCATACACTCTCTTAATTTAAACTCCAACGCGCCGGATACTTTTACTATAGCCTAACTTCGGTTACATCGAGAAGCGCGAAAGCGAAGCTCCTACGGCATACATTCTCAAAACCAAGCGCTCCTCGAGATAACACTACCAACGTATTCAGGCTGTCTCCGAGGTAGCCTCGCCACAACCAAAGCTACAGGCGGAAATCCGAGTCTCAAGCAGGATACTATCAATTTCCAAGAGCCCCTGAGTCAAGTCAAGCCAGTATTCTCCTTATCGTTTACATCCAACTGTGTGAATAACTGAACCAAGTAGGGAGACTATGCCAACCAACTTCTGACAGTCGAAAGCAACACGAGCACTTCGCTGAAGCTTGAACCTACAGTTCGTCGTTGAACAAAGACATGAAACAACATGATAGATCAGTACTTCAGAGAGGATGCCAGTCAAGGTTGACTTGACCGTATCCGCGAGGACAGCCTTACTGCACGCCCAATAGCTATACGAGCGGATATTGGAAAATACAGTTCTGAAATAACACTGCTGAGTTCACTACTCTTTTTCTCTTGAAAAGGTCGATAATGTATCGCCAGAAATACAAGTCTACGGGGTTAATAAGTCTTGTCAAGCCAAAGACACCACCTATCTTGGCCGTTGCTACGTATCAGGCAGGTCAGCCACATACAGACAGGCATATTAACTAATATCAGATCAGATCTCGATACAACGATACGGTCTTTCGGAAGCGCACAGAGATGGACATGCATTCTACTCGAATCATCAAAGAGAAGTCATGACATCTCTCGCACGGCATTGTTCCTTGCATTGCACTCCCCAATGGATAGCAGACCAACCTCCTAAGGACTGGGATACAAAAATAAACAGCCTAAGAAGTCTCGTCTAAGTAACATAAACTGACCTACTAATTTTCAGTGTGTCTGATGCCCTACCCAAATTCACCGCCATATGCACGTCCAATACTCTAACTACCATGATAAGAAAGATGCGGGCAAAACAAGCTAATGTGTTGTGATATCGAACAAGGCAATAATACGAAGATCGCAAGCCCAGTCAGGAAAAAAAAATCAAGAAAGCAACAGAAACAGTCAACAAGGAAATAGCTTGGAGGCATAAGAACCCCCGCTTGGTACCGCATTTCATATCAAATCAAGCTTGGTTGAGCCGAGTTCGCAATAAACCCTGCCTTATCACGCACGCACTCACATGCCGAACACAGACAAATTGGTGCATGATAGGGCCAACCAGTCAGTAACATTTCCCAAGTCTTGTGGACTTACACCCAGCTTGGGCCAGGGCCCTGCACACCATCAACTAACAAGCCCACGAGAAACAAGGACAAGTCAAGTCGTCCAGGGAGCTTTGCTTTGGGTGTAGTGCAGTCAGTAACTAAGCATCAAAGAGTGGTGGGCACATGGCGCACATGGCCATGCTAGCAGGTCGTGGCGTGTGTTCCAATCTGCATGACTGCGGGGTCCTGCATCGACGTTTCGTTTCGTTTTGTTTCCCAGAGGGTATGTACATAGAAAGGTCTAGACGAGACAAGACGAGTCGTCATTGCCCTAGGACAGATAGGATCAACAGAGTGTGACAGTCCGGCATAGAAATCACATCTTATTATAACTCGACCAATTCGAGAACACCACGGAACGGGCGGTTCAACAGGGTTGCTTGCTTGCGTGTGTATCATGGCACGCATGGGCACGAGGCCATGCAAACGGGAGCTTCGGTTTCTTACCTTTAACTCAGAAGAGCGATGATAATTACCGTATCTGGGACGACTCACTTTGACTTGAGGTTGGATGGATGGATGGCTCGAGAGTTGCCAACTGCACGGATCCTTTCATGCCAGGTCCGACAGGTGAGATAAGAAGCTAGCACGTTGTAAGGTCAATGTTTAGGGCGCCATTAGACAGCAAAAGTCTTTAGAACATACAAGGCGTTCAAACATTCATCATAGACACACGGATAGATAGTATCGCTATTCGGGGATCGCCAATGCGTGGGGACGGTGAATAGACAATCCCGTAGCATCAAATCATATGACTCGAAACGGTGGTGGCCTGCAAAAGATAGCTGTACCGTTACGCCTAATGCATGGGGAAAAAACTTGTGAATGACACATGATCAACCACGATCAACCGTGGCGGGAAACAAGATGTCTGTTGTCGAGGTCAACCAAGTTAGTCACGAAACCGCCAAAACGGACCCTTGAGGAACCCACTCACATCCTTTGACCGTATCGCCGCATCCGAGGCTGAAAAATCACGGGTCGAATCACGACGACTTGGAAGAATATCGCATTATGATTACCATGCACTGGTCATTAAGGACAAGTGGATCGTCCATCCTGTCCAGTCCATTGAACAAAGGGCCGCTAGGGTAAGTTAAATTGCACGGTCGCATAGAATCTCAAATAAGATCAACTTGTGGAACGCCCCAGCTTGTCATTTGATAGGATCCGAAAATATGTGAGTAGTCAGTCACCTAAAACACATTTGGACTGCATTTCTTCGGCGGATTGTTTTAATGGTAGCCATGCAGCGTCGAATGAGTCATGGGCAACAAGATGCTGTTCAGTTCCATAGGCCAAGCAGGGCGTTAGCTACCATGACCTGACTTGATCTTGTAGCAACACGGCTCACTTCATCGCTGAAAAACAAAACAATAAACCACCAGAGTGACTGATCAGGCGTTAACAACCAATTCTGACCAGGCACAGATAATTTGGAAAAAGTTGACGACTTTTTCAGCCGCGGGAGAAAAAGGACAAGGGCCAAAATCTAAACCCAACAGACTCAGGTACCATCGGTCGATGAGGGATCAGCCATCTCAGGGATGAAAACTATAGTAAATCTCAAGCCCAGAGAATGTCGGTGTGGTCTAGGTAAAATTCAGCCATTGGTAATGTTAGTCGAACCGAACCCAGCTTCCTTGTTTCGGGTCTTATTCCGGGGCTCCAAGTGGCAATACTACAGCGCCGTTGAAGCAAGAAACCACCTTGAACATTAAAATCAAGCTCGACCAGATCTTGGTCTTCCGTAACCCTCAGGTTGTAATGCTTGGACGACACGCAAAGAGGGTGCAGGGTTGGTCTCCACAAGCCGAAGCCAAGCCAGCATTACATGTGGATGGACGTGGTTGTAGTTGTGGTTGCGCTGACGGGCATGTGGACCTCATTTGCATTGCATTGTCCACCAGCGGCGGACCGTGTATGGTGATCATGATCGTACACTGGGACCATCGTCTCTTCCTTTCGGCGCCCACCTCTTTGATCCTCATCAGGGCGGCGACTGCCTGCCTGAGAAGAAGACGGTTGTCGATCAAACCCAGTCAGCACAAGGGAGATCGGAAGCTTCCCATCAGTAAAATCATAACGCCCGGATATTATTTCGAACAAAGATAGGGGTCTAATAAGTCGAAACCAGAGGACTGGGCTCTTTCAAGCCCATGGGCTAGCCATTGATGGTTCCTGTCCGACAAAGCCTTCAACTCCTGGGTTTGGGTAAGCTAATTTGAACACAGCTGCTGTCGACCGATTTCGAAATGTTGGATATACTGCTTCTGCCGCTTTAATGGCCTCGCGAGTAAGTTGGTATGCATTATTTACAGGCCGTTATGTCTCTCCTGTTTTGGTTCACCCCGGTAGATACGTGCAGCTGCTATCTACGTAGTATTCCATCAACAAAGCCTCTGGTCTTCAGTAGTACAATGCATGACAGTAGCCTCGAAGTGCCTGAGTCAAGGGAATGAAGGAATTGGTATCAGTGTCTACACCAGAAGCTACATGGTGTTCAACGGCCCATGCTGGCTTGGTGATCGCGGCTCTGACTGGCAGGCTATTCCCAAGTGGTTAAAGGGACCATGCTCAAGTTGGTCAAGGTGGCAGCTGAACTTCCAGTCACCTGCACGCACGCCGAGGGAGAGGCGCGATCGTGTGAGCTACGCCTGGGGTTACTCCGTAGCTTGAATTGAACCGTACTTGGTTGTGGGATTGAATAATGAGTGGCCGATGTGACAATCTGACTGTGGCATCACAGAATCGTGACACTGTGATGCAATTGTGAATAGGTGGATAACCTTCAGTGCTATACTGGACACTAGATCAAGTTAGGCGCAACATGTCTGGCTGATATGATTTTTGACCGTTGATGGCAATGATTAAGACGGCTCTCAATTGCATTCGATCTTGTTCAATCTCTAGGGTAGCGTTTGTGTGCGATTCTACCATCCTGAAGAGTGAGAGAACTTAACAACAGACAAATAAGGGTCTCAGAAGCAAGAAATTGTGGGTCTTTGAGCCAAAGTAAGGTACCGGTGCTATCTTGGGACACTGAAAGGTATTTTCGTGCCCATGTCCAGCGATGTACCTCCAGCGCATGGCGATGTATCTTTTATGGAGTGGTATTCCCTTGCTTCAATTGACCGTATTGATTGATTCGCCAGAAGTGTGTCGAACACTCGAACTAGGCCACAATGCGGGGCCTGTTTAATACGACATTTTCGCTAGCGTCCAGCCGTAAGGCCGTGTTTTGGCTTGAAACCAATTCAGTGCAATCTCTGCTTGAACTCCTTCTTGTCGAAAGAAGATATCAGAGAAAGCAATAGGTTGGAAACTACCAGATTCCAAATCGAAACATGCTCTAATCTGATGGTGTGCCTGCCAGATTCTGTCATGGCCGGCTCCCGTAGCTATGTCATATTGGAGGGTTGGTTCGTGATATTACTGGAGCAGAGCTCCTGTCGGAGGGTGCTTCTTCTGCGGGTAACAGAAGCGTGACCTGGCATGACATGACCTGATACTTGGGGGTATCAGAGTCGAGGACAGAAGAACATCAACGCAGCATTCTGTCTGTGCATCCAGATCGTGTGAAACCCATCTTTCTGATCCGTAACGATATTTGGGTTTGAGCCACTTAACATACAGAAGCCACTACCCTGACGGAAGGCATGAGGGTCTCATGGCAGCTGTGAATAGGGCAGCAGGTCGGCTTTATGTGTGCAGTGCAAGGTGCAGGGAAACATAATAGGGCCAAGATACGAGGAGCCATACAAAGATATGGTCATGCATTTTGAGTGATGAACAATTTTGGACAGAACGTCGCGACTGCTGTCGAAACACTGCTTTGGCATAACAACATCATCTCGGGTTTTGCTCTAAATGGTGATCCACATGAACCCATGCCAACTGAATTGATCTTGGCTGCATGGGCACGGTGCATTTGTCGGCACTGGGCTCAAGCGAGAAACCAAGGACAAGGGCTTGGTGGAGAGTTCGGAGAGAAGCCAGAGCTCTTGTGCTAGGATTCAAGGGGCTCTCAGACAAGGCCAGACACAGGAGGTAGATGAATTCTGGGTGCTGATTGGGTTTTGCGAGAGATCCTTGAGTTGGGCAGATTGTTTTTATTATTTTAGGAACCAATGAGCATGACTTGCTATTGGGCTCCTCGTTCAAAAAATACAACCCAAGAAATGAGACACAACCGCCTGGGCAACAAGCCGCTAACTCAGAAGAAGTGAGACTCGTAGGTTTGAGAGTGCACATGATGTCTGATACGTTTGTTGATATCTTTAATAAAGGACGCCGAGGTCAAATGCTGGACCATATCACTTAAGCAGGGTGGGGACGAATCCTGCAGGTGATTGGGGGGAAAAGGCGGCTTGGAGATCGATATTGTACATTGTTTCGAGACCCTGCACTCGACTAGAAAAGAAAACCGGCTAGGAAGAAGCAGTGTGGTCTGGTTTGTATTCCTCTTGAACAAAGATCCGTACGATTGAGTCAGGGAGACAGATGGGGCGAGAGTTGCTTGGCACGGTTTTCGATATATTAGGCGGCCGAGTCCTATAGAACAAAACCGTATTTGATACCGATATTTGGAATACAAGGAGGATGACCGTATTAAATAATGGGGTTCGATAGACCCAGCTAGTATTAAATAGCGTCGATAGTTGCACAGGCCTCTGTAAATGAGCCCAGTTAGCCAAGACGCTGGGGATAACGTGTTCCGCAATATCGTCAGTAGTGGTCGATGTTGTGAGTCCCAACTTGGAGAAATTGGGGATTGGGGATGATGAAAGGGGCCGGAACTGCCCGCCGTAATCGTGGTATCAAAGGTTTAGAGTATTGTGATAGGTATTTTAGCCGGTGAATTTTTGAGATGAGATCTGTAGTATAGGTAGAGTAGCAGAAACAAATATCGTGTGGTTTAATTGATGCAGGTAGCCAAAACGGGAGTTACGGTGAGTTTCTTCTTGACTGAACGGAACTGTTACTCTTGCTCTGGTTTTCTTAGTGGAAGGAAGGTACCGCTTGGACATGAGAAGGTACGTGTCGAGTACGTGGGCCCTGAATGTGCTACAGCAATCTTGTCCGCGGCTAGTGTAGGTCGCTAAAGTAGAGTCAATCCAAATCCACTGGTAGCCGGCAGGTCGATGGGGCATCTGCAATATTAGTTCCACTTGTTTAATGCAGCACAGACCAGGGCATCACCCAGCAACAACAAGGAGTAAAAATTCAGTGGGAGGACATGGTAGAAATTGGTCGAGGAGAGACATTCAAGAGCGAATAATAGGTAGTTGCTGGGGAACCAGATGGGATGCGCACCATCTTGATAGAAATGTGTGGAGGTGAATCGACCGTTATCAGATACTTGGATATGCTATGCTGAATGCTGTCATGTCATGCCATGTCATGTCCATGGAGGAGATGAAAAGGACGCCCCTGCAATGACCGGCGAGTTGACGCGAGAGTGGCTAATGAAAATCCGTACCTAATTACCAACCTAGTTAAGGAGATCGTCGACTGAGGCTAGGTGGTTTGGGAATGGAGGCTCTGTTATCTTAGAATACGGTGAGGAGATCATAGGTGTGAATAGCCTCACGAGGAATATCAGAATCAAGGTAGAGAGATACTACAGTACAGTCAGTACTTTGGTAGTTAAGCACAACTGCAAGATCAACAATTTATAGTCAATCGTACGACATAAGTCTGTATTTCCACAATCGTCACAGTGATTTAAAAAGACACTCAACAGTTTAACTGGTCCACACAAAGTTGACAGTCATCTTCCATCCCCCCCTAAGGCACCCTACCCGGTCTTTAATCTCTTCACTCCCCCCTAATTCCCGCCCGCTTCTGCACACGCCCCGCCCTGACCCACGTAGTAAGTTTAGGTCTATTCACTGGGTGTGACCCTGAGTCCTTAGGTACAGTTTCCATCTCTGCTTGGCAGGTTCTGGTCCTTTTCACGGCGCAACAGCAACAAATAAGTACCCCAAGCCTCCCCGTCCTCTGTCCATTCTTTCTCTTTCTTCCTTCCCCTCTACCTGCTCTTCAGCTCCATTTGAAACCAAACGCCTTTTTCTGGATTAACTTCCTTTTTCTTTCCTTTTTTATACCAACGTCTTTGTTTGTTGTGATACCCAATCTCATTTGATACCCCCCAGAATCTTTCAAAATGGCCGAGGAACAGAAGAACATCGAGGTCCCCCAGGAGACCAAGCCTGAGACCACTGGCATCTCTGCCCCTGCCGTCGAGGCTCCCGCTGAGACCAAGCCTGTCGAGGAGACTCCCGTTGTCGCCGCCGAGACCGCTCCCGTCGCTGAGGAAAAGCCTGCTGAGGAGGTCAAGCCCGTCGACGAGGCTACTAAGACCGAGGAGGAGAAGAAGGAGGAAGAGGCCAAGCCCGTTGAGGAGGGCCACCTGAACCACAAGGCTCAGGGCCTCAGCTTCCCCAAGTAAGTCTAAGCCTATGCGTATATGTTAAACGCTTCAACTAGAAAACCGTTCTTTTGGTTTCTTACGAGCTTAGAACAGCAGATGTCAACAAGAACAAACACTAACCACACGCCCCTGCAGGAACCTTATCCCCACCAAGGAGTTCTTCTTCTTCGGCACTGACGCCGTTGAGCCCAAGACTCTCTCCCACTACCTCAAGAGCGAGAAGTCCGCCGAGACTGCCCACTCTAACATCGCCTGGGCCTCCGAGACTGGCAAGGGTCTTCTTTTCGTTGGTGACAAGAAGAACCCCTCTAGCGTCATCAGCCTGGTAAGTGAAAGACCCACAATTCTCCAATTTATCAACTGCCGGCATGTCACAGTAAGCTAACCATCATCCCCGCAGGCTGATGCCACTGAGCCCGAGATCGATGGCTCCAACAAGTTCCATCTCACCTCCAAGGGCAACAAGCACACTTTCAAGGCTTCCAACACCGCCGAGCGAGACAACTGGGTTGCCCAGCTGAAGCTCAAGATTGCTGAGGCCAAGGAGCTTGCCACCACTGTCACCGAGTCTGAGACCTACAAGGCTACTCTTGAGAGCTTCAAGCCTGCCAAGAAGGAGGAGAAGGTTGCTGAGGCCCCTAAGGAGGAGACTGCTGCCGCTGCCCCTGTTATCGAGGAGGCTACTCCCGCTACCGAGGAGGCCTCCAAGGTTGAGGAGCCTGTTGAGGTCAAGGCTGAGGAGCCCAAGCGCCGATCTGCTAGCCGTAAGCGCACCTCTTTCTTCGGCTTCGGCAAGAAGGAGGAAGCCAAGAAGGAGGAGGTCAAGAAAGAGGCCGAGACCAAGAACGCTGACGAGGTCGCCGTCGAGACACCTGCTGCTGAGACTCCCGCTCTCGACGAGGTCCCCAAGGTTGAGGAGCCTGCCAAGCCTGTTGAGGAGGTTCCCGTCGTTGCCCCTGTTGTCGTCGAGGACTCTGCTAAGCCCGCCGAGGAGACACCTGTTGAGGCTGCTCCTGTCGCTGATGACAAGGCCCTCGAGAGCCCCAAGGAGAAGCCCACCGCCATCAAGCGCAACAGCTTCTTCGGCAACGTCTTCTCTAAGAAGGAGAAGAAGACCCCTGAGCTCAAGCCTACTGAGCCTGAGGCTGCCAAGGACGATGCTGAGGCCGAGACAGCTGCTCCCGTGATCCCACCTGTTGAGGCCACCACTCCCCTTGCCGTTGACGTCTCCAACCCCGCCACT